GAGCTGTTCAATCCTAGCATGTGGCAGTGTTGAGAAGTGCCAGGAAACCATACCACAAGCCTTGCAAAATAAAATTGAGTAAACGGAGCTGTTCAATCCTAGCATGTGGCAGTGTTGAGAAGTGCCAGGAATCCATACCACAAGCCTTGCAAATAAAATTGAGTAAACGGAGCTGTTCAATCCTAGCATGTGGCAGTGTTGAGAAGTGCCAGGAATCCATACCACAAGCCTTGCAAATAAAATTGAGTAAACGGAGCTGTTCAATCCTAGCATGTGGCAGTGTTGAGAAGTGCTAGGAAACCATACCACAAGCCTTGCAAAATAAAATTGAGTAAACGGAGCTGTTCAATCCTAGCATGTGGCAGTGTTGAGAAGTGCTAGGAATCCATACCACAAGCCTTGCAAAATAAAATTGCAAACGGACTGTTCAATCCTAGCATGTGGCAGTGTTGAGAAGTGCCAGGAAACCATACCACAAGCCTTGCAAATAAAATTGAGTAAACGGAGCTGTTCAATCCTAGCATGTGGCAGTGTTGAGAAGTGCTAGGAAACCATACCACAAGCCTTGCAAAATAAAATTGAGTAAACGGAGCTGTTCAATCCTAGCATGTGGCAGTGTTGAGAAGTGCCAGGAAACCATACCACAAGCCTTGCAAAATAAAATTGAGTAAACGGAGCTGTTCAATCCTAGCATGTGGCAGTGTTGAGAAGTGCCAGGAAACCATACCACAAGCCTTGCAAAATAAAAATTGAGTAAACAGAGCTGTTCAATCCTAGCATGTGGCAGTGTTGAGAAGTGCCAGGAAACCATACCACAAGCCTTGCAAAATAAAATTGAGTAAACGGAGCTGTTCAATCCTAGCATGTGGCAGTGTTGAGAAGTGCCAGGAATCCATACCACAAGCCTTGCAAATAAAATTGAGTAAACGGAGCTGTTCAATCCTAGCATGTGGCAGTGTTGAGAAGTGCTAGGGAAACCATACCACAAGCCTTGCAAAATAAAAATTGAGTAAACGGAGCTGTTCATCCCTAGCATGTGGCAGTGTTGAGAAGTGCCAGGAATCCATACCACAAGCCTTGCTAAATAAAATTGAGTTAAAGGAGCTGTTTAATCCTAGCATGTGGCAGTGTTGAGAAGTGCCAGGAAACCATACCACAAGCCTTGCAAAATAAAATTGGGTAAACGGAGCTGTTCAATCCTAGCATGTGGCAGTGTTGAGAAGTGCCAGGAATCCATACCACAAGCCTTGCAAAATAAAAATTGGGTAAACGGAGCTGTTCAATCCTAGCATGTGGCAGTGTTGAGAAGTGCCAGGAAACCATACCACAAGCCTTGCAAATAAAATTGGGTAAACGGAGCTGTTCAATCCTAGCATGTGGCAGTGTTGAGAAGTGCCAGGAAACCATACCACAAGCCTTGCAAAATAAAATTGGGTAAACGGAGCTGTTCAATCCTAGCATGTGGCAGTGTTGAGAAGTGCCAGGAAACCATACCACAAGCCTTGCAAAATAAAATTGGGTAAACGGAGCTGTTCAATCCTAGCATGTGGCAGTGTTGAGAAGTGCCAGGAAACCATACCACAAGCCTTGCAAAATAAAATTGGGTAAACAAAACTGTTCAGAAGCTGTTGATATTTGTTCTAAATAGTTATGATTGTAATCAAATATTTTCTAGTGTAAAAATGCACATAAGTGGTTGACATGCCGTTAAACAAACCAAACCAAACCAAATCCAGTAACAGAGATCTGTCTTTGATGATTGGGTGTATGGAGGGTGGGGGTGAGAATTTGACATTGTAAAAATATTCAACTTGTTCACAAAGAGAAAAGGGAAAAAAATGAAAACAGATAAAATATAAATCTAAAAGTTTTACATTCCAGAAATAGTTGTGATTTACAAAAGTAGTTTTCCAATTTTAGTCCAATTTCTTATAATGGTAATATTAGCTGTTTCTCTACCAAGGAAACATTTGGTATTCATTGACCAAACAGCTAGTACTGTTTTTGGTTGAAATTTATAAAAAATTTTCTCTTAAAACAACTTTTCAGAAAAACAGGTTTCTCAAGACTGGTAACTGTTATCACTCTTTCCAATATTGATTAGGAGAGAGCTCTTCCTGTCTACCTTTTTATTTGAAGTAGTTTGTAATGTTAACATCTTGACTGTAATTATTTTCTCTTAGAGTTACATGTGTTATGCATTTTAGTTGTTGCATTTGTTGGTACTCCTCAAGTGATGTGGTTTATTTGTTTCAGTTATTTGTTTGTGAATAAAGTTTGTTTTTAAATAACCCACAAAGAGTTGATAAACTTAAAACAAACAAATCAATCTCATGAACAGTGTTCATATTTCAAATAGACTAGACAGAGGAATATTTCTTAATGACTTCAACTCTGACTGTTACATACACCTGCTACTTAGGCTTTCACATAAACTGCTACTTGTAGTGTCTGATTATGGGATATATTGTCCTTTTATTTATACCTGGCATGCATATGTAATAGTGGACACAAAATGCACATGAAAAATTCTCTGCTCAATTTGAATGTGTTGAAAGTTATATCATTTTTAATAACTTAATAAATATACATTGCAAATTAATAATTTGATATTTACTTTAAATGCTGTGTAATTTTTATATTTCTCCATAAATTTTAAGTTAAATTTTTTAGTTGGTATCCACTCAATTGTGATACCATATTAATAATTTTTAATAAAAAGATGTTTTTATTTTGTTGTAAACTGTTTAACAGAATATGTTCATATGTATCACTTGTAATTTGAATCTGTCATTTATTCATTTTATCAAATCTTAATTTATAGATATTTAAAGTTTTTCTTCACAAACATGACATGTTTGGTGTAAGTTGATTTTTCATGATAGTATATAAATTTCACATTTTGTTTTAGCATCCTGGTTAAGACGATAAACTATATCCAACAGCAAGGCCTCTGATCAGGAGATTTTGAGGAGTGTGGAACCACCTCTTAATTGCTGGTGTTCCTAGGTCCACCCTGACCCGGGGTGGTAGCACCTGTTAGGGTCCCAGCTATGGGCAAATAGTTAACCCCCAAATTGGTGTCAAAACACTATGAAAGTTTAAAAGTAGGTCTTTATACCAGTAATACATTTTTGAAAACAAAATATTACCAGCAATAGATTTTTGAAGAAAAAAATATTATTAGCAATATAGTTTTGGAAAAAATATTATCAGCAATAAAAATCTTGTCAGTGTTACCACAGAATTGTGCTAAACTTTGCAGATTGACACTAATCAGACACCTGTCTCCCCAAGTAATACCTCACTTTGGGAACAGTCTAGGGTTAATCCTTGGTGCCTCAGGCATGTCCACAAAAAGAAGTGCCAAGGAGTCAGGACTATTTTTGGGTTTTCTGTCTTTTATCCACATGTGACTGTCGCATTAAATTTACCCTAGTGCCTCATTGCATTCAAGTTGGCATTCAATTATATATTTGTGTTAAGTTTTTCAGCAGGAGTCAGGTCAAGATCCAGAGCTTTGATTATACTACTGTGGGTTTCCCAGTGATTGGGGTTGGCAGCAGTTGCTTAGCTCTCACACCTTCTTTCCAAGTATCCCTGTCAAGCAGGCTAATGTGGGCAAGGCTACACTTCTGCCCATCCCTCCCAATGCAGTCCTTCCAAGTCTTCCTAGGTCTGCCTCGACCTCTGTGACCAGGGACCCTGAACTCCAAGAGTCTTGATGCATGACAAAGCTTGTTGGATGTGATCAAACCACCCAACATTGCTGGGTGCACAACACTGATCTTATATCCTCAATACCGAGCCTTGTTAACAACAGTGAAGAGGGCATTTCATACCGAGGTTTGGAAACACAAATCCAGTGAATCATTGAGCAGAGTTGTCACAAGACCAACACACTGCCATGAACCAACAGAAATTCAGTCTAAGGTGTCTTGTCTCCAAGATAGTATTTCTCCTACAAGAGAATTAAATTGTAAAATACACTATGGAATTTCTACACATTTTTTTTGAGTTTGTACCTTATAATTCTTTCTGAGAGTATATAATACAGCTTTAGTCTTTTGTCTATATCAGATTATAGATTTATTATTTTTTATTCTTTTTTTTTAATCATTCACTTAAGGCAATAATGCCACTAAGATGCAAGGATTTAGTGGATGTTAAAGAAAATAAGGCTTTTGTGAGGAGAATAGACAATAAAAGAATGGTCTTCGAAAAGACAAGCTGGTGTTTGACATTGCATTTAATCCATTGAAGATTGTAGGTGACAGGAAAGCAAGAAACCAGAAGAGTTCCAGAGTGTGAGAAGTGTGAGAAAAGGAAATATTAGAATAAAATTTATGGCTACATCAAGCTATTTCAACAGTAGAATGATGAGACCTAATAGCCAATCTAGTACAATCTTTAAATTCATGCTGTTGCGGTACCAAGGAGAGTTCATATATTTCGCTTTTTTTTTTTTATGTCCCTCTGTTAAAAATGTCTTTCTTGCCCACCATTTCTAAAGTTTGGAAATAGAATTTTTTTTTTTTTTTTTTTTGCTAAGAAATTTTAGCTTCAAATGCGTAATATTCATTATTCAAATTCTCTTCAAGTTGCCAGTATTCATACTTTGAAATAATGTAATTTAAGATGAAAAAAAATAAAACAAGAAATTGATCGAAATTTGATAGTTATGCCAAAGCCATCTTTTATTTTCTCTTGATTTCTTCTTTCACTTGCCAAAATAACAAAGCATTTTGCTTTTGCACATTATTTTTATTGATATTTTTAATCTTTATCTAAAAACCAAAATTTTTTTTCTCTTCACTGAGAAAACTAAATTCAAAAGGCCTACAAGGCTTTAATTCATTTGCTTGATGCAGGTTTTAAAGATTTTCTGATCAGGCTCCATCATGAACAAGTTTTACTATTTAATAACTTTAATCACATTGCACAACAATTTTGAAAGAAATTTGATTATAGGAATAAGAATTTGGAGATGGAAGGGCAAA